AAAAACAGTTGTTACATTGGCCAGAACACAACGTGTGCATTTTTCAAAACATCTGAGCTACATCCTTTGCATTGTGGAATGTTATGAATGATTGCGGAACAGGAAGGATCTGTTTTTCCCAATATCTTTAGTATATTAAAAACAGTTTGTTCAATGATTCTCAAGAAACAACCGGAAGCACACAACAAACTGAAGCAGTTTATCTAATATTTGTGAGGAGATCTGCCACATGTCCACTTAATATACTTAAGTTTAAGGTCCAACAGTTATTAAAACTTACATTTAAAAAACTGATATGGGGGGCAATCATGTTTCTTTGCCCATGAAATCCAAAGGAAGATTTGAAAGTTAAAGAACATTTTTTGAAATTGGTCTAATTAGCTCCAATAATCCAGAAAATTTGATATACTTCTTCCATTCAGACTTCATGGCCATTTTTTGACTCCCTTCCTTCCTTGTGCTTACATTCAACTTGAATTTTTGGCAGCTTAATTAGGACAAGCTCTAATTATTACCTCCCTGATATATAGGGATGCTGATGAGTTGGATTTGTATTATTATTATTATTATTTTAGGGAAACTTAAATGGGAAAGGCTATTTTTGAAACTTGTAATGTATAAAACTTCCAAAATGAGCCACTCTGCCTCTAAATTTCATCCAAAACTGCTAGGGAAATTAAAACAACAAAATGACAATTTATAATTTTTTAAAGAAAGCAAAATGTAAAGGTAGCTAGCGTAAAGCCTGCTGATCAGTGGTGGTATTCTACTGGTTCGGCCCAGTTCTGGCATACCGGTAGCACTGAAGATCAGCTGGCAGAAAATCGGTTCGCTCTGAGTCTCTCCGACGCTCTGCAGTTGGGCCCACCTGCCCGCCCCTACTCTTAGGTCCTTTTGAACCTCTCAGCTGTTTGGTGTGGCAGAGTAGATTGCTGTGCTAAACAGCTGAGAGGTGCCGTAGCTTAGTTTTTACTGTTTTAACACATGCACAAAGCATGCGTTTGGAGCGCACATCCCTGCAGCCATGCCCCTGCAGCCACGCCCTCAGAATCGTTGGTGGGAACTTTTGAATACTGTGTATCTGAAACAAATTCAGTAGTGATTGCACTCCAGTAACAGCTGTGGTGGAACAGTGGTTAGAATGCAGTATTGCAAGCTAACTCGCTGCCCAACTCCAGGAGTTCGATCCTGACAGGCTCAAGATTGACTCAGCCTTCCATCCTTCCAAGGTCGGCAAAATGAGGATCCAGATTGTTGGGCGCAATATGCTAGCTCTAAACTGTTGAGAGAAGGCTGTAAAGCACTGTGAAGCGATATATAAATCTAAGTGTTGTTGCTATTTCAATAGACATAGATTTGGAATTGTGAACCAAGATTTTGATGGGGGTTGAGGTGAACACTGAGATTATATTTTAAATGTCCACACTAGGTCCTTTCCAGAACTTAATGTCAGTGCATACATAGGAAATTGCTCATCGTAGATGGATTTTGTATATTAAATTTCTCTTGCATTGTGAGAGAAATAATATGAAAAGAGTCAGATCTTCCTCCAAACAGCTTGGGCTGGAAATAGTTTATCCAACAAACAATTCAATCCAAAATCTCTGATTAAACAGTCTTTTATGGGGAAGGTCACAATGACAACATAATAATTCCCATGAGTATTCCACCTTCAAATGAAACACCTCTATGTAGGCAATTATGGTAGCAACAGCATTTATTGTATTCCACTCTTTCTTTGTAGAGGATTGAACAGGTGAGTCCAGTTCCATCTGTTCACTGTTTAGGTAACTATTAGTCATCCTATCTATCAGAAAGAATTCTCCTGAAGACAACAGTGTAGGATAGAGAGGATCTATGAAATATTCTGGGTTAAGGTGTTCTTTAGGTGACTTGACACATGGTGTAGCAGTCCTTGTTAAACGTTTTCCTTCAGTATCCAAAACTCTTTTTCATAAAGTCCTTATTCAAATGTCCCCATTAACATTGGGATATTCTGGGACATTATTTGTGTGTCATAACTCTCCCCAAACTCCCACTTGTACCCAAGTTCGGGTAATTCACTCAAGTTTGGGAAGCAGTGTAATATATCAGTCCACATTCTCATGGGCTTTTGACAATCCTGGTGCAAGGTTTCAGAAGCTCCTCCAGTTGGGAAAATCAAGGTGCTTCAAATTTTTGTTAGATGTTTGAGAGGAAGCGTGAAATATTCTGGTGCCAGAGCAATTAAAAAGGTAAGGTAATTTGCATGTTATTTTTTATGTCAAGATTAGCATATTTTCAGAAAGATCTCAGCAGGAGAGTAAACTAATACAAATTAGTCTTTGTGTCAATGTGTTTATGCTGTACTTAATAGAATGGTATTGTAACACTGGCTTCTGTCCCCCCAGAACCAAAGGTTTTCCAGTGTTTTTGTTATTTTCAATTACCTGGACATAGTTGGGGGGGAAAGGTTTTTCTTGAGCAACTGACTTACAAAGATAATATGAATGTGGAAGTGAGGAGACCTTTGCAGAAAGGATTAACAGATGGAGAAGGTTTTGTCTATATTTGTTGATTTGTTGTCTTTGCTAATCGTGTGATTTTGCTCCCAAACTGGCCAACAATTTCGCTGTGACAGTCCTGTTTTAAATGATTTATGGGTTTTGCAGGTAAGGAAAGGATTGATCCCTCCATCTTCCCTGTCTTATTTTCCCAAATTTGCCTTAAAAGATGAACATACATTTGAAAGTCCTTAGTAGTTTTCCAAATATCTATCTGCATATTTAAATAAATTAATTCTTTCCATTCTTTATGCAGTTTAGTTTGAATTCAAAGTGGATTTGTTCTCAGATAATTCCTAGCAGTTAAGGAGAATGAGATAAAACAAAAATTCTTGATTCAGAGTGTTCAGATGATTTCCTTTTATGCTGATGTAAATGGTTGATTATAAGAGGTTAAGGAACTGCAATTACGGCTTAACGTTACAAAATAATTGTGTGTTTGATGTTTCTAGTCATAAAAACTACGCCACCAATAATGAGAATAATCTTGTGTCAAAACTCATTTTTCAACATATCAGTTTTATACTCAGAATACAAATTTGTTCTTGGCGTAGCAGTTATTTTTGATCAGTGGGTTTGATTAAAGAAATGAAATGTCAAGGCCTGCCTGAAAAAATGGTTTATTCTGAGATAAATAACAAAGAATTGCGGATATCCCTTTTCTTGTCTATCTTATATTCTTTCTGTAATCTTTAGAAGAGACTCTGTGTAACAGCCAGTCATAAATTACCAGTTTGAAAAAAAACTTTACATTTGGAGAAGTACAGAAGAAATTACAATCAAGGAGTATGTCCCCTTCCAAATGCCCTTGATCCATTTCCTCAACATGCTAAACCTTAAAACCAGGTTAATCCAACAGAATCACTATGCCCGCACAATATGCTAGGCCTCAATAGGTAAACCATATTATAATTTAATGTTGCATGTCATGCTTAGGTGGCGGGTGATTTCCTGCAACATTTCATCTTAGTTAGCAGCATGTGGTGCATATCAACATGTAGTGCAAATCACATGTTAAGGAATGAAAAAACAAAAGAACTATTTATATTTTAAGAAGGAAGCACTAACTCCTAATTGTGTGCAGGGATACTTTTTGTTTATATCATTTCATTGAAAGTGGTTCTTAAAGTATCCGGGGTCTTTTTTTATGACATAGGACAAAAAATCTAAAATGAATCAGGATTAAATTTTAATTCTAATTTCTGAGATTATGTTAAATTCCAGATAATGGATCTTTGCTAAGTATTTTAAAGTTATTTTACAACAATTTAAAGCATTTTAGCCATCTCTTAAAAACAATTACATATGTTTTGAAATTGTTCGGTTTTAAAATAAAGACATAAAAACTAACAAGAACCAGTAAGATAAAAATAAGATAAAAATAGACAAAAAGAAAAAGTAAAGACTGAAAAAAAAGCCAAAGTTGAAAGTGCAGAAAAGTACAGGTAGTCCTCAACTTACAACAGTTAATTTAGTGACCATTCAAAGTTACAACAGCACTGGAAAAAATGACTTACAACCATTTCTCACACTTATGACTTTCCCATGGTCTCATGATCAAAAATCAGATGCTGGGCAGCTGGTTCATATTTATGACTCGATGTATTCCAAGGTCATGCGATCCCCTTTTGCAGCCTTCTGACAAGCAAAGTCAGTGGTGAAGCCAGATTCACTTTACAACCATTTTACTAATTTAACAAATGCAATGATTCGCTTAAAAATTGTGGCACGGAAAGTCGTAAAATGGGACAAACTCACTTAACAAATCTTTCACGTAACAACACAAATTTTGGGCTCAATTGTGGTCATAACTCAGGGACTACCTGTGCTATTATTTCTACGATAGGACTCAGGTAGAGAGGTGTTTCCCACCACACAGAATTTGAGATATCTGAAATGCTTTAGAAACTTCCTGACAGTTAGAAGACTTAATCATTGGAACAATTTGCCTCCAGAAGTTGTGGATGCTCCAACACTAGAAGTTTTTAAGAAAAGAGACTGGACAACCATTAGTCTGAAATGGTGTATGGTTTCTTGTATAAGCATGTTGTTGGACTAGAACAGTGGGAGTTAACCTTTTCGACACAGAGTTCTGAAAAGGGAGCGTGCGTGCTGAAAAGGCACCGAGTCCCAAAACACGCATGCATGCCAAAAACTAGAAAAGCAGCTCCCGGTGCACGCATGCATGCTGGCCACCTGGTCTTCCTGTTTTTAATTCGCATGCACACATAAAGACCAGCTGCTTGGTGCATGCATGCGCACAGGGGAGCTGCTCTTCTGGTTTCCGGTGCTCCTGCGTGCGCGAAGACCAGCTGACAGAATCCGGAAGAGCCAACAGGTGACAGCGTGCATAGGTTCACCATCACGGGACTAGAAGACCCCCAAGGTACCTTCCAACTCTGTTATTGTTATTCTAATCATATCCATATATTATAATTTCATATTTTTTTGTTTTAGGCAGAAAGTCCAGAAAGGGCTTCCAATTCTCTGATCAAACAGTTGGTTTTGCCATCAGCCAACTCCAACAACTTTCACCGTCTGTTCTTCCATTGCAGGTAACGTCAAATATTTCCATCTTTGTGCATTAAATTTTTTTTCTGAAGAAACAAGGTACAGTACCATGAGTTTTCTCCCCCAACTGTTTATCCATCAGTCCCCAAAGAAGTATCTCGGATTTCTATTTTATATTGGTCTTTAAAATCTTCTGCATTGATGAATCCATTTTAAAGCTTTTTTACAGTTCCACCAAGTATGATAAAAATGTCCCCTCTTGTTGTTCACATTTCCAACTTTCATTTAAAGTACCTTTACACATTTTAGACAATTTTTCCAGTGACAAATATCACTGGTACATTTTTCATAAAAAAATACCTTCACAGTTATGATATGTGTATTACAGCCCTTTTATCAATATATTCTCCCATTGTTCCATCTGTATATTACATTCAGAGTTTTTACCCCTTTAATCCCTTTTATCATAAGGGATGGGAAAAAAGAAGAAAAAACTGATTTAATTGTTATTAGGAAAATAAACACTCAGAAGCAAAACATATGGTATGTGTATATAAACACAGAAGTGCAAAAGGGGAAGCAAAACAGAAAAAAAATTATTCTAATATAGACATGATAATTTCACTGTAATAATTCAGTGTTTTTAAAAACAAATTATACATGATCTATACAGAGAGCTATTTTTACTTAGTCTTGCATCTTTACTATACAAGGCTTGTCTGGTCTACTTTGTACCATTTTGTCATGAAGCTTTTATTCCAGAATTCTAGCTGGAAAAGACTTAATAACTGAACAGAAAAAAAGTAAAGAAGATAACCCCCCCTGTATTATTGGAATGCAGGTAGTAATTTCTCCCTGTGTATTATTAGAAGGCAGATTGTCCATTTATTTGATTTACATCATTTTTAAGGTGAATGTTTCACCAGTGTGGAATTGTGACATTAAAACCTGCAATCAATCAAATCAATAAATAAATAAGCAAGCAAGCAAACAAGCAAATAAATGCTTATGATCTTGATTGCTAAGAACACTTTCCTTCCAGATGGGTTATTTAGAGCTAGAAGATCTTGCTCTATGTATCTGAAACATGTTTGCAATTCTGTGGTTTCTTTGGAATCTACCACACACTCAAAAATTTACACGCACATATGTATACATACATAAATTTAGTCTTTAATGAAATCAGTATTTTTGGAGTGGCTTAAAAACTGGACAGAGAATCTTTCTGTTAGGTATTGTACATTGTATTGGGAAGCTAGGAAAAGAATAAAGGTTCTATAAAGAATAAAAAATAAGCCTGGGATAAAAAATAAATAGTTTGCTGGTAATTCGTATACAGCTGAGTTATTAAATTGGTCAAAATAAACTTAGTACGGCATGTTCACGGGACTTGCATTAAAGGAGCTAATCAGAATGAGGGTAATTGTAATTTTTATTCAAAAGTTTTTTTTAATCTATTTATACTCCTGTAAAATGGATCTGTATTCCAGAAGTATCATTGGATGATTTTTATTTGGGGATTTTTTTAAAAATTAAGCTTCTTCCAAATTGCTGATTAGAAATTCCATATCACTACTCCATTGCAAATAAAGAAATTAAACGTACCCTTAATTTTGATACCAAATAAGCTTTTAAAATTCTGCAGCTCAAACTTCTTTAAAAATGCTCACGTGCTAGCCTCTCTCTGAAAAAGTAGCAAATAACAAAGGGATGGATCTCTGTGTCAGCTTTTTGAATTTTTAAAAATCTTGTTTCTTTTTTAAAGCTTTAAAACCATCAGTTCAGGACCCACTGGAGACCATTAGGATAGAAAATGCTGTGCTAAATGACTATGCTCTGTACTCATGTCCTCCACAATTAGCAGCTAACAACCAGCAATTGTAAAAGCAGAAGGTTATTTTGACAATGAGGATCTGTGCCCTTGAAGAAAGCAGCCCTGGTGTGTGTTTTTTGTTCCCCAAGTACAGTACCATTGTGTTATGAATAACTGCCTCACATTAATTCTGTTGTATTTATTTCTTTTGGAGGAACAGTATGGGGGCTGTGGCTTAACAATACAATGCAAGCAGTGGCGGGATTCAAATTTTTTTACTACCAGTGACTTGATGAGCGTGGCAAGGGAAGGATACTGTAAAATCTCCATTCCCTCCCCACTCCTGGGGGAAGGTTACTGCAAAATAAGTATAACTATATAAGTATAAAAGTATAATAAATAATTAGTTTTACTAATCTGGATACCTGCATAACTGTATAGAAGCATTCCTGTCAAACAGGCAACAAATGGTCAAAATTGGGAGCGTCCTATCAAATCCTGTACCTGTCAACAGTGGTATCCCCCAAGGCAGAGTTCTAGGACCAACTCTCTTCATACTCTATATTAATGATTATATTAAGAACAACTGAGTTCTTTTCGCTGACAATGTAAAGCTATTCAACACCACTCACAATGCCGCTACCCTTCAAAAAGACCTCGACTATGTGTCAGAATGGTCAAACAAATGGCAACATCAAATCTCAACAAATAAATGCTCTATCTTACATGTTGGCAAAAAAATCAAAAAATAAAATACAAGCTGAATAGTAAAGACATTGTTGATGACAAAAACTTTGTCAAGGACCTTGGAGTACTGATCTCAAATGATCTAAGTGCTAGAGCCCACTGTAACTACATAGTCAAAAGCCATTAGGTTACTTGGGGAACAAAAAGGCATTAAGAATTGTTAACCTAATCCTGCATAGCTTTTTCTCCGATAATATCACTTTACTAACTAGAGCATATAAAACATTTGCTAGACCAATACTTGAATACAGCTCATCAGTCTGGAACCCGCATTACATATCTGATCTCTTTTTTTAAAAAAAAAAAATTGGCTTTTAAAAACAAACATAAACAAACAAAACATAAAAACATCAAGCTATTTTCCATATGTGTACATACAGTGTGCCGGTTGGTTTACAAATTGTTTTGTGCTTCCATTTCGTAGTCTTCAATTACAATTACATTGCATATAGTCTAATATTTTCAATCAAAAATTAAATACCCTAGTATCATTATTCATCAATCATTTGACTATACTTTTATTCATTCATGTTTTACAAGATAATCATAATTTACTTAGTTTATTTTATAACAGTTCATATTATCATCCCAAATCTATCCTAAAATCATTTGGTAGGTATAATAAGAAAGAAGTACATCTTTATATATTTATTATTTTCTAAAAGTCTACATATTTCATTACTGTATTTTATTGTCTAACCATTGATAGAAAAGATCCCAAATTTTATAAAATTGTTTATCCTCTTGTTTTTTAATTTCAAATGTCAATCTACTCATTTCAGCACATTTCAATATTTTCTTAATGATTTCCTCCTGCGATGGTATTTTCTCATTTTGCCAGTTTTTCGCAAATACAATCCTAGCTGCTGTTAATACATTTACAATCAGGTATTTCAAGTCTTTACTATATATTTCAGGTAAAATTCCCAATAAAAATATCTCTGGTTTCAAGTCTATATGTTTTTTTTGTCATTTTTTCCAACCACATGTGGATTTTAGTCCAGTATTTTTTAGCATCCGCACAAGTCTACCACATATGGTAATATGAGCCAGGTGTCTGATGACATTTCCAACATTTTTAGGATTTATTCGTGAACATTCTTGCTATTCTTGTCGGGGAAAATGCCACCTGTAAAACATCTTATACAAATTTTCTTTATATGCTGTTGACATTGTCATTTTATAATTTTGAGACCACAATTTTTGCCATTTCTCTAAATCGATCCCATATCCAAAATTCTTCCCCCAAGCAATCATAGTTTCTTTAACTTGTTCTTCTAATTTAATTTCTAATAAATATCCATACAGTTTTTTAATCACCTTTTCATCAGTATCTGTCAAAATCTTATCTAAATCAGTCAATTTATCATAGAAACCTTCCATTTTAGAATCTTTATCATACCTTGAATGTATTTGCGCATATGAAAACCAATTCATCTTTATACCTTGTTTCTCTAGCTTTTGTATAGATTTGAGTTCACTCCTTTCATTCAATATTTCACCATATCTAACTGTTTGTTCCTTTTTGTATATTATAGGATAAGAAAATGCTTCAATAGTTGATAACGACTGGAATCTTCAAATAACATTGTCTTTTAATCTTCTCCCAGTTTAACCACAGAGACTCCCATATATAATGTCTTCTAAAATACCCCTGTGTTTTAGTTCCTTTATACCATAAAAAAGCATGCCACCCCAACAACAAATCATGTCCTTCTAATGTCAACAATCTAGTATTTCTTAGTGTTATCCATTCCTTAACCCACATCAGATTCGTAGCTTGATAGTACAACTCCCAATTATCTAATCTTAATACAACTGAGAAAGTCCAGAAATATTTTACGAGAAGAGTCCTCTACTCCTCTACTCGTAGCAGAATACCGTGGACCACCAGACTTGAAATTTTAGACCTAGACAACCTAGAACTACACCACCTTCGGTTTGATCTAAGTATAGTATATAAAATTATATATTGCAATGTCCAACCTATCAATGAATACTTCAGCTTCAACCAAAACAATACAAGAGCACTAAATAGATAGAAACTAAAGATAAACCGCACCAAACTTGATTGCAGGAAATATGACTTCAGCAACAGAGTAGTCAATGTCTGGAGTACTCTTCCTGACTCTCTGGATTCTTCCCCAAACCCCAAAATCTTCAACATTAGACTGTCTACTATTGACCTCGCCCCTTTCCTAAGAGGTCTGTAGGGGGCGTGCATAAGCGCACCAAAATGTGCCTACCGTCCCTGTCCTATTGTTTCTTTTTTTTCTTATTTGTATCCATTTCATATATTTATAACCATGTTTATACTTATACCTGTTATCTAATAATTGTTTGACAAAATAAACAAACAAACAAATAAAATCTCATTCCCTCCGTACCCCACTAACCTGCTTTCCAGCTCTGTTCTCCTATGCAGGGTAACAAAAGAAGGGACTCAACAGGCAGAGAATAGATGGGGGTGGGGCCAGTGAGAGGTGGTATTTGCCGGTTTTCCGAACTACTCAAAATTTCCATTACCGGTTCTCCAGAACTGGTCAGAACCTGTTGAATACCACCTCTGAATGCAAGCATCAGATCTTTCAAGGGACAGCAGAATGAAAAATTCTGCTTTCCCCTAGGAGTTGGCTCTATTCATATAAATACAAATTAAACTTTTTTGTTTGTTGTTCTTTTTTTTTTACCCAGGCTTCTAATTGGAATCCTGATGGTTCCTTTGTATCGGTACCTGGGATTGGCTCTTCCCCAGTTAAGCAGGGCAACAAATATACGTACTTTCAGGTATTCGTTTCATTATATTTATACCCTGTCTTTTCTCCAAAAGTATCCATGACAATTTATATTGTCGTTTTATTCTTGTCATTATCCTGTGAAACAGATTGGATTGAGAAAAAGGTGATTGTGGTTAGGAGGAGACTGGAAGGTGTCCCCTTTTACAGACTCTTCTCCAGGGATTTAACCCTGTACAGGTAGTCCTTGACTTAAAACAATTCATTTAGTGGCTGTCTAAAGTTACAACGGCACTGAAAAAAGTGAGTAATTATTGTTTTTTAGACTTACAACTTTTGCAGCATCCCTGTGGTCACATGATCAAAATTCAGGTGCTTGGCAACTGGCATGTATTTATGCAGTGTCCCGAGGTCATGTGATCAACTTTTGCGGCTTTCTGACAAGCAAAGTTAATGAAGAAGCCAGATTCAAAACCGTGTTACTAACTTAACAACTGCAGAGATTCACTTAACAACTGTGGCAAGAAAAAACGTAAAATGGGGCAAAATTTCCTTAACAGCTACTGATATCTTGCTTAGCTACAGACATTTTGGGCTCAATAGGAGTCATAAGTCGAGGACAACCTGTATCCAGGAGCTTGCTTAAAGCAGAAGCTTTCAGGTTGACTTCTTAACTGCCCATCTTCCTCACAGAACACACTTGCTTTTTGAAGGTACTTTAAACTCTTCAATCAATGATCTGATGCATAAAGTCAGCTTTATGTTCCAAAAGAATCATTAGATTTGGATAGGTAGAGGTATGTGCCCTTCCCCCTTTATCATTATATTCCTGCTCTACAAGTGTGCGGGAAATATTTCTGCAAAATACTTGATGTTCAAGAGGGAACAAAGACCCTTGACATTTGTGATTCATCCATTGTGTAATGAATAATTGGTTGAGTCAGGGAAACCCTGAGAGAAAGGCTGGCTGTTCCTCAATTATTGGAGTGATCCTTGAAAACTAAAGCCCTGAAGCCACCTACTTACAAGTGAGCATTTTGAAAGATGCAGTTCATAGCAAACATATTTTTAGAACCAATAAGTCGCCTAGAGTGTTCTGAGTGAAAATATAAAAAGATTTGGTTCTGTTTTGTGTGGCTACATATTGCTACTTTGTCTATTTGCCATCTCCATATTCAGAGCCAGATCCAGCACGTTCCATGCTGCTTGTGGTCTTGCATCACCCCAACTTACCTTTTGTTTGATTTTTGGCTTGGTGGGAACTGTGAATTCAAGAGTTACAGTTTGTCAAACAAGTTGTATAACCTTAGTATGAATCTGGCTACTAGGGGTTGCTCAACAAACTGTGACCAAAACAGGTTATACAGTATACCATTATGAGTTTGAGAAACTCAGCATTGACCAATTGAGCTGAACCTGGCTTCCCCAGATTGCGATTTCTAGACTATCTAGCCATCATGGTGCTTGGCTGGAAAAAGTTTAATGGGGATAGAAATTGAGACTTCCAGGGAATCTTGCTGTAATAGGGAGAAGACACATCAGGGGTGTCAAACTCATGGCCCACAGGCCAGATCCGTCACACACTGGCCATGCCCACCCCCGTTTTAGCGAAGGGGAACAAAGTCGTGATATGTGATGCCGTGAGTTTGACACCCTTGAGCCACACCATCCCAGAGAAAAAACTCAGCTGCTTTGAGGAATTGCTGATTGGGGCTTCATTGATGCTCCTGTCTCTTTGGAAATAGCTGCTGCCCTTTGAATCCAAAGAGCTGCCCTTCATACCCAGAGCTACATTAAAGATTCCTCATATAGCAATCACTTCAAGAGAAAAACAGAATGAATATACTTAAAACAGCAAGTAATTATTCTAAAGTTTATTGGGATTAAAGTGTGTGTCTTGGATAGCTAGAGTTCTAGTGACTTAACTTTATAAAGGAAGTGGACCCTACATAAATTGATTTTAAAAACCAGACCCTTGTTCTGCTAAAACTCAAAAAATACGTGCAACACTTTTTAAATTATGGGTACAAGTATTTTTTAAAATGAGTCAATAAGTCTCACAGTTCGCCTTTTCTCTCATTATAAAAGTACAAAGCTGTATTGACTATATGGTAAGTGTATTGCCTATTTAGAAGTTAAGTCCCATTGCTTTTAAGTGGGGGTACTGCATGCTAAGTGTTGGTAGGATTACAACTTGATTCTGTTGGCCAGATACCCTTTATGTAACTCTCTAATGCTAGCAAAAGGGGATGGAGGTGGGGTAGCAGAATATAAGCCAGAAAAGCCTGCCAGATAAATATTTAATCAGTGTTAGGTTTCTGTGTGGGAATCAAGCTTCATAATGGAATGGATGCTTTCTTTCTCCATCTCTCATTCTCCATAAATAGGTGAAGGTAGTCCTTGATTTTGCAAGCACACTTGAGCCCAACATTTCTGTTGCTAAATGAAACATTTGTTAAGGGAATTTTGCTCCTTTTTACAATCCTTTCTTGCCACCGTTGTTAAGTGAATCACTGCAGTAATTAAGTTAGTGTTGCTAAGTGAATCTGACTTCCCCATTGACTTTGCTTATCAGAAGGTCGCAAAAGGGGATCGTGTGACTCTGGGACGCAGCAAGTGTCATAAATATGAGTCAGTTGCCAAGCATCAGAATTTTGATCACGTGATCATGGGGACGCTAGAACGGTTGTAAGTGTGAAAAATGGTCCTAAGTCACTTTTTTTTCACTGCTGTTGTAACTTTGAATGGTCACTAAATGAACTGTTGTAATTTGAGGATTGCCAGTATATGCGCTGTTAAAATGGTAGTATGTTTTTTTAATTCAGTCCTCTTTGTCTATATTGCTGGTTTTAACTTTCTGGCACAATATTGTTTTTATTGTGAAGGAGATTACCATAATTTTAGTTTAGTTTAGTTTAGTGTATTGTCGTTGCACCTCGTACAACGAAATCAAACACCATCCTCAGTGCACATCATGACCATGTCCAGGAAAATAAAGACAAACACACATCCTTCACCCTCCACACATTGAACCGAAACCCCCTGACACCACACAATACTGCACTATACAGCAGAATTCAAAAGAGCTACTGCCCTGGCGTAGAAGCTGTTTTTCAGCCTATTTGTCCTTGTTAATGCAAGTTTCCCAACTTTTTGCCCTCCAAATATAACTCCCAGATTCCCCCAAACATATGGCCAGCATTTGGAGTGCACAGGGTTGGAGAGAAAAGAGAATGCTGTACTTGAAATGGATCCTGAAGTGACCTTGGCTTACTTAACGTCCCCGGGAGATCTATTGAGACTTCTCTCTCTCTCTCTTCTTTTATCAGCCTCAGCAATGTGTGCAGTTATATCCAGAAATTGACTCGTGTGCGAGTGGTTGATAACAGCGCCTTGGGGAACACACCGTATCACCGGCCTCCAAAATGTATCCACGTCTACACCAAAAACGGAGTGGGCAAAGTGGGTGATCGAATTCTTCTGGCTATTAAAGGGGAAAAGAAAAAGGCGTTAATTGTCGGGTGCAAGTTTCCCGGGCCTTGCATGACTCCTCGGTTTGATTCTAACAACGTGGTGCTCATCGAAGATAATGGGAATCCAGTTGGGACACGGATCAAAACACCTATACCTTCCCTGCTGAGGAAAAAAAAAGAATTCTCCAAAGTGTTGGCCATTGCCACAGACTTTGTGTGACTTCCCTGGGAGGGCATCGAGTGACAAAGAAGGGGATGTTGTGGGACTGTCCCTTGAGTTGCATTTCTCTTTTCATTCCCAGAATTGAGGAAGAAGTATTTGAAAAAAAAAGTAGGAAGAGGATGGCACGGAGTGCTAAGACATCCTTGGGGGAAATACACTTTCCATTATTTTGGGTAACAATTGCTCTTCTGAACTAATTTAATTAAAGGCAGAGTGTTAAATAACTTTTGTATGATTTATGGTTTTGAAAGAGGTGGAAAAGGAGAAAGCAAAGGCTGGGAGTGTGAGAGGGCCATTTAGAGTGTCAAAAGATCCGACCATCGTCTGTTCTTTTCTATAGATCTCCAGTTATTTTTGTGAGTTATTTCTTTCCCAGTTTTATTCTTAAAACATTCTGTGCATTGTTCAGATTCCAGCCAGCAATAACTTTAAAAGTATATTCCAGCATAGTTTTATGCAATGGATAAAGGCAAATAAAAAGGAAATGGCAAATAAAGAATGTCATAAATAACATTACTATTCCCGCTTCTCTCCCTTTTTCACTTTCTTAAACAATACCTTACTTTATTCTTACAACGAGGTTCCCCACTATGTTATTTTTATTCTGTCACGTTTTCATTTTTTCTTTCGCATTTTCATAATTTATCTTTCCTCATTGTTTACAGATGCTTTCTGCATACTGAATTAAACCCAGTAGTTTGGGATTTCACTAACCAATGTGAAGGACACAGGTCACCCTGTTAATCAATAGGTTAAACATCATTCAGAGTTGATCATAATGTAGGTTTAATTTATGTGTAAGTTCTATATCTTATCTGCGAGCTAGTATCCTCCTCCCATTTCCTCACAACTTTTGTGTGAGGTAGGTTGGCAGAGAGTCAGGGAGTGACTCAAAGTCTCCCAGTGAATTGCTATGGCTGAGGGAGTCCTGAAGTTGGTTCTCCTAGAGCACGGGTGTCAAATTCACGGCGTCACTCACGTGACATTTTGCGACACTTTACCCATTCATTGAGCTGGAGTGGGTGTGGCCTGCCTGTGACGCATCCAGCCTGCGAGCCGCCAATTTAACACCCCTGTCGTAGAGTCTAGTGCAGCACCTACATCATACTCTCATTTAGGGGTGGTAATTTAAATAAATAGTGCTAGAAAGAAAGAGTATGTGCATTGCATGCTTGCTTCCCCCAAACTAACGCTCTGCAGATATATTGTGCTCACACCCTGTGCTGGTTCTGGATGATGAAAATTGCAATCCACTGGAGGCATGGATTGCAGAATGCTTCTGAAATGGTTTTTCAGAATTAAATCCTGAAACCATGCCCATCTTTCCAGCCTTCATAAATTATGAGCCCTTAGGATATTCAGGTTACTCATGTACCATCGGGTGGTTTCCAATTGCTCAGTCCTTTGTTTTTTTTTCTTTTCTTTTAATCTGCAATCTATGCCATATAAACCCTGAATTTGTATTGGTAGCTGAATAAATTAGGGGCACCAAATATAAATTATGCAAATCTCATGAATGGAATTGTGGCCTTTATGTTATTGATGAATAGCTTTTGACTTCTGAGAGTTACTGCTATGCAAATCCTTTTATCACTGGCATTCTGTTTTACTTTGACGCAGAAAATAAAGTCTAACCAGAATAATCGTGGCAAAATTCTGGATTTCCACAACATGGAAGTATAAATCTTTGGTTGTATCCCCACAGGGATAGGTAGTTCCTCCAAAGGATTTTAAATGTAAGGACTGATATGGTAGAAAAAAATGTAAGATTGTAAAAAAATTGTCGGAGATTCAATATTTAGTATTTTAAAAGCAGAGTTAGCATGTAAAGAACAAGAGTTGGTTTATTCCAGGGGTGGCTGAGGAATTCTGGGAGTTGAAGTCCACAAGTCTTAAAGTTGCCAAGGTTGCACGCTCCTGGTTTATTCTGTGGGGAGCATGGAAGATTTTTTTTCCCTCATTGTGCCATCTTGTGGTGATTCATGTCTATGTGCTTCTGGCTTGATTTCAAGAATTTTGTTTGTTGAGAAAAGCTTTCAGTATTGAATATATGTAGAATGCTTTTGTTCCCCTTTTGTTAACAAGGCACTTAAACAAGCGGTTGTGTTAAAGGAACAAAGACAAAAATCACTGAATTCCCTCTTTTTTAATCTTTATTTAAAAATTTTATTTATAAAATTATATAAAATCTATATACTGTATATAAAAACATGAAATACTATTCACGCATCGTCACAAAATCTTCAGAACCGTAAAGTCTACAAACTTGAAATTTGGCACATATGTTCCTCTTGGCTTCTAGGTGCTCACTTAGGAAGGATTTTTCAAAATGACCATCAGAACGTTAGTATTTCATATATTTTTATTAACATGCTCTGATGCTAAGGAGTTCTACTCCCCCTAAAAAGAAATCTCTTCCAAATGCAAAACACATGCAGAGGAAAGGAGTTTCAGTTTCAGAGCACCAAGCAGCTTTAGTACAGAACAGTTGAGCTAAGCCATGGCCAGGCTCCTTGCTGTCTCTTTGCTCACACAGCAAATACTGTTTCACTTTCCAAACAAGCCCTCAACTCTCTCACACTGACTGGATGCTAGCCAGATGAATACCGCTCGATGCTGGCAGGCAGAGGCACAATTTTTACCCCTTATTTTCCTTCCCAAAAACTAATCCCGATCACATAGTTTCATAGCAAAGCACGGGTATAAAGCTAGTTTATTTATAAAATTTATTAGCCACTGATTTTACCATCTGATAACCAGGTGACTTACAATCATAAAATATATATCTATACATGAACAGTTAAAACATAAATAATTAAAATCAAGATTAAAACCTAAGGACACATGGGAAGGCGCAGGAAGAGTGAGGGGATGTGGGATCTTTTGTTACTTGATCAACCACTTCCACTGCTGTTTTCCCCAAGCCAGCTAGCAGAGCCAGGTCTTTAGGCCTTGATGAAAAGAGAGGAGGGTTGGGGCCAATTTCACATCAATGCAGCAAGATGTTCCGGAGGGCAGGAACAACAGCAGAGAATGCCCTCATCCTGGATCCCACCAGCTGGAATAATGCTAACGGGACATGCAGCATGCCTCCCTGGCTGGCGTGAGTGGGATAGGCCAATCCCAGTGAGACGGTCCTGGATGGTCCATGCCATGAATGGCTTTACAGGTGATCGCCAACACCTTGAATTGTATCTGGAAGCAGACTGGTGACCAATGCAGCTTGCTGAGCAAGGGTGTTACTGGGGCCATTTTAGGGCCCCCAAAACTGCCCACACCACCACACTCTGCACCCGTTGGTGATCAAATAAGTACTATTGCAGATGACCCCTTTATTTGCTCCAGTAAAGTGGTCTCTTCAAGTTGGTTGCAAAGACTGACATGGTTCTCTGGAATTAATATACATCTTACACATATCTTAATTCATATTGTAAAGAAATACAGAGCAGATCCTGGGCGAGGCATGAATGAAGAAGGATTTATGAAAGATAATGCACAGTCCAGAGACTGAAGGAAGTGTGAGAATTCATCATAACTCCTTGGAGGTACAAAGCTAAACTTGGACGGGCTTTTAAAATATGTTATTACACCCCACAACAATAGCATTCCTAGAATCCCTGCGGTGTCTGTTTTTTGACCAGCTCTTTTGATCTTGAAACACCATGTATGTTTGTTGTTACTCTTACTCGTACTCGTACCAGTTACAAGCTGTACGTATTGCATAAAAAGTTTGAACAACTGTTGAAATCATACTACAGGATGACTTAAAGAAAAACTAGGGCATGTGCTATAAACTGCAAAACAATAGCAGTGGAGAAGTCTGCCTATTTCTCTCCCCCCCCTGCTCCTCCCCCCCCCCCCCCGGCTTAATTGTTGAAGTTTTAGTAACTACTGGATATCCTGATTCTTCTCAATGAATTCTATAATTCTGATTTAGGATGCAGCCTTCATATTCAAGCTTTGGCTAGTTCCTTTTCTGCTGATTTAGAGCAGAATTTAATCTATGCTAACACAAATACTTGTGTACCTCTAAACTGAACATTTTTTAGTTGCATCCATCAAAAGTTTCTGAATTCAGCTGCCCTTTAAAAAGGCCCATGTAACCCCAGATGAAGGTGGGAGTTGCTCACCCTATAGCTTGAAAGTCAATTCTACTGAATTTGGCAACACTTCTTGAAAAGAGATATGTAGGATTTTGCCGTTCAACTTATTTTTTTAACAAGTTCCAATTTAATTTAGGGACAGCACAACATATTGTGTCAAGGAACACATTAAGGCTACTGCTGTAAAGGTCAAAGACTTTGTTACAAAGGACTCCTGATGAAGGACTCCCTGAAGTTTTCTTGACAATATTGGGCACGTGGCTTGTCATTACCTTGTTTGGGGATTATATTTTTGGTTTCTGTGAGTCCAGCCAACATTCCCAGGACATTTCTCATCATTTGACTAGAGATGAACTTGCTTAGCTTCTGAGATCAGCCATGGATGACTCACTGGCTCCACTTGCTGAGACATACCATCATGTGCAACTGTGCTTATTTATTGGGGATTTGACTTTTTGTTCCCTTCCTGTTTTAAAAGGTACGTTAAAAAAAATACAGAATTGTCATAAAATACCATGGTTACATATGAGTTTTCCATTTTTCTGAACGTTAGGTCTTTGAAAACACTTTCCAGTCAATAAACTCTATTCAAGTCAATAAACTTTACTTCAGAGGAAACAGATCTGGATTGCATTGTGATTCTCTGTATTATGAACATGGAACTCCACAAAATGTACAGAATAAGGAACCACAGATTTCCTATGGTAGGAAAATTCATGGAATGAAGTTCAACCCATAGAGGCGGTCTTTGGCTTACAGCCATTTGTTCAATAACAGTTTGAAGTTACGATGGCACTGAAAAAAAATGACTTATGAGCCGTCCTTGAAGTTATGACCATTGCATCATCATCCCCGTAATCGTAATTCAGGCACTTGGCAAGTAGCTGGCAGTTTCGATGGTTGCACCATTCTGCATGATTTGTGTCCTTTCCAGCTGCTTAATTCCCATGGGGAGAATGGTCATAAAATGGGGAGCAGCAATGTGATGCCTCACTTAATAACCATGCTGCTTGATGATGAATGTTCTTTTCCCACTTGTGGTTGAGGATTACCTGTACCAGTGGTGGGATTCAAATTTTTTTTTTACTACCGGTTCTGTGGGTGTGGCTTG